TATGAAGAATACCTAGCCCTGGCTGGTTTGGCTCAGCAGTTAGAACATCGGCCCACAGACCAATGAGTCTCGAGTTTGATTCTGATCAGGGGCACATACCTTGGTGGAGGCTCAGTCCCCAGCCTTGGTCAGGGTTGTGCAGGAGGCAACCAGTTTATGTGTCTCTCTCACATCAGTGTTTCTCTCTCTCTTTATACCCCCCCCCAGTCTATCTGAAAATAAAAAATAAAAAAAAAATATCGTTGGGTAAGGATTTAAAAAGAAAAAAAGAAGAATACCTAATGGAGAAGAAGAAGTAATAGATATGAGGTGAAACAGTTGCTCTAATAGAATACTTTCTCAGTAGGAAAGAATTGCTACTTTGGTGTCCAGTAACAAGATGGGTCATGCAGGTGGAGGAGAGCGTATTCTCCATTCATCTCAGAAAACCGTTTAGCTTCAGTACCTCAAGGGATACAGAAACGCAGCCTTATTTTGGCAAAACAAAATGTGTGGCTTGAGTAGGGTCAGGAATTAGGGTCCTGAAATCATTTGTAATAGAAAGGTGCCCTTAAAAACTTCACAGAGAGTAAGAAAGGAGAACATGAAAGTACTATTTAAAAACTCATGAATCATCTCTGATACTCCCACAAATTAGTGACTTCAATTTAGCAGTGAGAAGAGCCAGGAAAAAGGGATCATTACCTTAGAGTTTTTCAGGTTGCATCCATAGGCTGGTGAAACCACAACTTTTGTTCAAACTATCAAAAATACACAAAGAGTAAAAGTATTAGGGGTCGAGAGAAAAATTACAGGAGAGAGAGAAAGCAAAAAGGAAACAAGAAAAGGTGTAGGAAAGTAATGTTCAGTTCAGGGAGTTATATATTGCAATGTACAGCGATAATGAGGGGGAAGAAATGAAGTCGACCTGAATCCTTCTCATGCAAATCTATAATCTAGAAATAAATATAAGACAAGTACTTATATAAGTACCTTGTGTGAGGACCTTGTATTCTTTTTTAAAATCAGTGAAATAAAACTAGTATGTGAAGCATTTAGTATATCACCTGGTACACAAATGAAACAATAAATGTGTTTTTTTGTTGTTTTTAAATAGTAAAAGGCAAAAAACAAGTTATATTAAAAACTGCTTTGGAGTTTTGTGGATGAGGGATATGTGGAAGAAATGACATTTCTGGAATCAGAAAACAGCAGAAGTACAATGGCAAACATTTCAGAACATTTGTGTCAGTGAGCTGATCAATTTAACCAGGGTGGAGAGATGGGTGGAAATAGCTTATGACAAATGAGAAGTGGCAAATTAATCATTGGTAACAGATTCTCAGAGTACAGAAAAGTGTGCTGTGATGAGTAGCACCTGCTCTTGGTCGTGAAGATTAGAACTGATGACAGGCTTGCCAAGGACGCACCATCCCAGGGAGTAAAACACACTGGTGGTAGATGAGCCGGAAAGCAAACTGGGCTTAGTAAGATGATAAAGGACTTGAAATGCAGGCTCAGAAATGTGCTTTTCCCCATGAGTAACAGAAAGCTAGCAAAGGTTTGTGTGTAAGGGGATATTATACATTTATTTCAGAAGCATAATTCTGGCAGCCTGTGAATGATGCAGGCACACATTTATTTAGGCAACTATTGCTATGATCTTGCTGGGAGTAGGGATAAGGCTTCAAATAGGATTATGTCAATAGGAATGGAAAGAGAATAGATAAGAAAAATGATTCCAAAATGCAATGAATAAACTATAGTGCAAGTAGGGAGTGAGAGAGAAAAAACGTTTTAAAAGATAAGGTGATTTTTAATTTGAGTTTTGAAGAGGAGGTAATAAAAATCTTAAGAAGAAAGGAAATTTTGTAGAGTAGAAAGAAGAAACCTTGGTTCTGGAATTTTTAATTAAACATGCACTAAAACATCTTAGATGTTTAGGCATCCAGTTTTCAGCTCTAGAGATCTAGGGGTAAAAACTTGTAAAATTTCCAATGATCAGTATTAGTTAACAACAGAGAACTGGTTCGATTTGTCTTTAGTCAAATGAAGCACCCACAGTTATTGCATTGGTAGTCATAGGAATGAAGGAGAAATGAAACTACCCTGTTAACAAATATTCTGTATGGTGGTACTTCTTGAATAAGTAAGTACATGTTACCAAAAAAAAAAGTATTTATTTTATGGCATTTTCAAAACAGGTGACACTTGGAACAACCTATGTATGAAACAGTGAGATAAAAAGCAGTCCTTTGACTTGGAGGGGAGGGAAAAAAATGGAAAGGATACAACAAAAGTAAGTTATTATTATTGAGAAGCTTTGTAGAGAAGATGAACTTTCAGCTTTCAGTCTTTAAGGCAAAGGTGAATTTTAATTATGAATTTAATTTCTAGGTGAATGAATAGTGTTTCCAGAGAACGGTAGCTGGAGTAAATGAGACAAGTTCCATGAACACTGAGCTAGTTTATAGATGGATTTGCAGTGGATGCTCCTGGAAGTCTGGTTGCTTTTCCTCCAAAGTCTACATAGAGTTCTGATTCATATAAAAATGTTCATCAATTTCTATTTTTGGCCAGGATGAAATAACTGGTAAATAACTTATTCTTCCAAAGCTCAAAAATACTAAAACTGAAAAGTATATGAGACACTTGGTTTTAGGCTTTGAAATTAGCAGTTGGGGACTTTCTGAGACAAAGAAAATAAAGAGATAAGCCCCAGAAGTATAAGCTTTCTGCAAAGGGGCGATTTTTCAAACTGCACGCAGAAAGGTAGTTGTAAGCAATGAGCAGAGGTCTTCATGACAAGGAAAAGGTGTAGATCAGTGGTTAAAGTTGGGGAAGTACCTAGACTTGGTGGGATAGAAGCCAAAAAGGAGCAGTTTTCACAGACAGTGCCCTAGCAGTTGGCATGTTGATCCGTGCAGGCTCCTGGCTGAGGACCCGGCTGCATATACTGAGGGCAAGACTCTATGATGCCCAGCACAGAGTGACTGCAGAGGGTCTGAGCGCGGAACAGGATACCAGAAGACTTGTAGGATGAAGTGACATTGGAGTTCTGCCCCAGCCGGTGTTGAGAACTCACTGAGCAACTTGGGCATTCAGTTGAAAACCTGGAAAAACCAAGCTTTAAGAGGAAGAATCGTAACCTGAAGTAGGAGCTACCACCTAGAACTTAGAGGAACTGAAACAGACTTACCCTCCAATAGAGCAAAACGAGAACTGAAAAAATCCAAAGCATCTTCTAGCAATTTAAGTGCCTGTAAGAGCAAAATTTAAAACTATTTAAAGAAAGACAACATTATCTCAACTCTCTTCAAAGACTTGGCCACAATGTTTATTACTAGCCAATACAAATTACTAGCCATGCAAAAAAACAAATAAACAAACAGAAAATGTTGATTCATTATTAGAAAAATAGGTGTCAATAAAAGAGACCCTGAGATGACTCAGGTATTAGAATTATTTTTTAAAAAAAAGTGTTTAAAAAAAACTGTTATAAATATGTTACAGGACTTTAAAAAAATGGACGCAATAAATGGAGGGATGGGGAAATAAGTAGAGAAAATAAACCTATGAAAAAGACTGAAACAATTTTTATAAAAGAGGATCGGTTAGAAAACTAACATTCCCTGGTTTCAAGGCATACTATAAATCTACAGTAATCTAGACAGTATGGTATCAGGAAAATAATAGATTCATAGGAGAGAAAAAAATATGACCAACTGATTTCCAAAAAAGCACTGACCCAAATTTAGAGCAGGAATGAATTGTTTCAACAAATGGTGCTGGGAAAAGATTTCTCTGACCCACACCATGCCCAAATTTAATTCAGAATGAAGCACAAACCTATAGATAAAAGTGGAAGTTATAAAATTCTTCTAGAAGAAAGCATAGAAAGCCTTTGAATATTCTTAGAGAGGATACAAGAATAACTTCAATAAAAAAAATTGACATTATCAATAGGAAAAAACATACTTTTGACAACAGACTGGTTTCCTAAATACCTAACGAAGTTTCATAACTCAGTAATAAGAAGACAAAGGTTGGCTAATTAAAGATAAGCAAAGGATTTAAAAAGACATTTAGCAAAACTGTTTTCCAAAAGGCCACTAAGTGTACAAAAGTTGCTTAATATCTTTGTCGTATGGATATGCCAAATAAAACCACAAGAATAATTATTCTATACCCTCTAGAATGATCAAATTAAAAAGAAAAGAAATACCACCACCAAATGTGTCAAGGGTGTGAAAACTTGGAACTCTCTGGCATTGCTAGTGGGAATGTAAAATACTACTACCTCTTGGGAAAGTTTTTAGAAAGTTTCTTACAAAGTTAAACACAAACCTACTCTACTACCTAGTAATTCTAATCATAGGTATTTCAAAAAAAAAAAAAGTGAAAGTATGTGAGCACAAGAAGAATAATACAAGAATATTTATAGCAGCTTTATTTAAAATAATCCCCAAATGGCAAGAATCTGATGAACTAATACCCATCAACAGGAAATAAAAAGTCAAATTGTGGTATATTCATATACTACTACTCAGCAATAAAATATAGTGACACTATAAGTAATAACATGTATGTAGCTTAAAAACAAACCTATTGAGCAAAATAAGAAAAAAAAAAGCCAACAATACTAATAACTCTAGTTAGGTGATATTCAAAAGCAGGCAAAATTAATCTATGGCCATAGAAATCAGAACAGTGGTTGTTGCCCATGTGTAGTGAGGCTTGGCTGGAAGGAAACAGAAAGAAATTTACTTGGGATGGAACTTTTCTGTATTTTGACTGGAGTGTTGGTTACATGGGTATATACCTTTGTCAGAACTCAAAGAATTGTGTGTCTAACATCTGTATATGTCACTGTATATGAAGTTTGTATACATATATGAGAAAAGTATGTATTGAGACTCTGTTAAGTGTAAAGCACTATCACAGTCATTGTGAGGACTCAAACAGTGAGATACCATTTAGAATAAGGATAAGATGCTCTCTGTTAACACATGGTTTGGGGGAGCTTTGCACAGTGGCAGTATCATAGCCAATGAAGTTTATCTGAGGCATGGTTATTGCTAATTAAAAACATGGTTTAGTGGTCTAAGCAGCCAAGGAGCCTCAGTATATCATTATTTTGCCTTTACCAATGGTAACTTTTTTTTATTTCTTTGTTTTTATTACAACCGTTGCACATTTATAAACTAGAAGAGTTACTCATTTTTTAAGCAGATAACAAGTATGTATATACTTTTGAACTACTCTGTAAGTTTTACTCACTTATATTTTAACCACATTCTTGTACCGCTGTTTTTGTTTTGTTTTTTTTAATTTTTATTTTTTATTGATTTGAGAGAGAGAAGAAGGGAGAGGGAGAGGGAGTGGGAGAGAGAAATAGAAACAATGAGAGAGAACACTGATTGGCCACCTCCTGCATGTCCTGCACTGGGGATTGGACGCACAACCTGGGCATGTTCCCTGACCAGGAATCAAACTGACCACCTCCTGGTACATGGGTCGATGTTCACCAGCTGGGCTGTTGTTATTTTTTTATGTTTAAGTAAGTACATTGTCTTTTATAATTCATTCTTATATCATAACGTTTTCTGTGCCTAACTTTTTCCAGATCTCCATAAACTCTTTTCAACTTTCTCAAGGTAGTTCCTTTCCTTCTTTAGTCTTCACTCTGGGGAGAAAGCTGGTCAACTCCATCTTAATCTTTTTAGCATTCTCAGTTAGATTCCGAACACTAAGCATCCCTGCTGTGCTCCTTCTGAAGTCCTTGTTTCATTCCCTCTTGGCAAGACAGAAACAGACAAGAATTATGCAGCAGCATGAAGCCTCTGGTTTGAATGAAAACTCTGCGATTGTCTTTTTCTAACCACCAAGTTCCCTAGCTTATAAATTGCCTTAAGCTCCCCTCCCCTTAGATACTCTAGGTGCTTACTAATTAATTAGAACGAAATAGGCCCTTAGCAACTCTCATTCACAGAATCAAATTTCAGTGCTCTGTAGATTTGAAAGGACTTTTCCTTCCGAGGGTGCATCATTGTACAACCTGAATAATGTGTATGAACAAATACAAAATAATTTCTGTAAGCAGCAAGTTAAGCCTAGCTATTTGTAGAACATATTACAAAGAAAAGAATAGAAACTATTTATTGATGAGGTATTTTAGGCATTAAACTGATTACTTAACTTTAATAGATTTTTAAGTACCTATATTATATGTAGTAACAACAAAGAGAACATTTGACCACAGTATATGCATCTTTTCCGAAAATCTATAGTATTCACTGATTATTTATTTTTATGTAAGGGATATTCAAATATGAGAAATAAACTCAGATTCTAAAGGAAGAAAAACTGATTTCAGAAGTTGATAAAATGTTAGGAGTGGGTGGTTGTTATCAAAGAGCAAAATGATAGTCGATCGAGAATATTTGCATTAATAACAGGTCTGTAATGTTTACTGTAAAAAGAAACCATAGAAAGCACCTACCTATCATTATCTTCACTTTTACTGAAGATAATGTTTAGAAAAAGGAAAGCCAGTAATGGTGTACATTACTGGAACTGAAATATCTCTTGTGGCAACATATTATATTACTTGCAAATGTATCTTTCTTCAACTTTGTGTATTTAAAGTAGTATACCTACCGTGGCCAGTTTGGCTCAGTGGTTAGAGCATCGGCCCGCGGACCAGAGAGTCCCGGGTTCGGTTCCCGCTAAGGACATGTACCTTGGTTGCAGTTTGTCCCCGCCCCGGTTGGGGTTGTGTGGATGGCAACCTGTTGATGTGTCTCTCTCACATCAATGTTTCTCTCTCTCTCTCTCTCTCTCTTCCTCCCTCTCTCCCTCCCGCTCTGTCTGAAGATAAATGCAAAAATGTCCTCAGGTGAGGATGAAAATAATAATAACAATAATAATAATAATAAAGTAGCATACCCCATAGAGGTTGTTTTGTCTACAAGTGACTTAGCTGACACCAGGTGCTATAAACTGAATGTTTGTGTCCCCCAAAATTTATATGTAAAATCCTGTTGCCCAACATGATAATATTTGGAGGTGGGGCCGTTGTGGTGAAGAGGTTATGAAGGTGGACCCCTCATGAAGAGGATCAATGCCCTTGTGAAAGAGACCCTGGAGAACTCCTTTGTCCTTCTGCCATGTGAGGGCACAGCAAAAAACGAACATCTATGAACTAAGAAATGGATTCTCACAAAACACCAAATCTATTGGTACCTTGATCTTGGACTTCCTGGCCTCCATAATTGTAAGCAATAAATGACTATTGCCTATAAGACACCCAGTCTATGGAATTCTGTTATAGCAGCCCAAAGGGATAAAGATGCCAGGCCATGCCTAAGGTATCTGCAGTCTGAATGTTCCCAATTCGGGTTATTCCTTAGAAATAAGGATGAAGATTTTTAAGCATATGCAAGCCTTACCCAGACTTGCTAAATCATAATCTTCAGAGGAGGAGACTTTCCACCAGCACTTTATTTACAGTGGCACAGATGAGTCTGATGTGTAGCCCAGCTTGATAACTACCAGTGTACACCAACTCTCCTACTCAAGAATGCCAATGAAAATCAAAACCAACACAAAATTCTCCCCTGTGCTAAATTATACTGGGATAAGGCATGCTTTCTTATCCCTATGTTAAAGAATGCAGAGATTAAGCAAAAATAATTTAGCTCCTTGCTCCAGGGATTATTTGCTTTTGGAAGATAAGTCTGTAAAGCAACTAAAAATGCTTACTTATGAAAAGCAACAGTTAATCATCAAAACTGACTTCAAAACCCTTGCCTCATTGTGCCCATAAATCCAAAGCTATTATGTGATAACATCTGCTAAATCCAGAGTAGTTCTTCCCTTGTAAACTGACCTTTAATTTTCTAGCCAAAGCCCTAATATGTAACAAATGTTCTCCTTGACTCTCACTCTTCTGGGAAACTTCTAAGACTTTCAAGGTGATTTTTTCCCTGATAGCATTATGTCTAATAAATTTAGCTTTGCGTGATCAACAGATACTTTTGGTAAGTTGGAAGTCAAAGTTAAATCAGCATCACTCAGTTGCATAATTGACATTTTAAATAATAATCACTAAACTTAATAAAAATAAAACAAAGTTTGGTTGAAAGGCATAAATCACCTGGGTACAGACTGATGACATGAATTAATTAGGCATTGTTGCAAATGTTCCCGTGTCTTTTTCCATCCACAGATAATTTTGTTCTTGGGTAAGCTCTAGCAATGCTGCAAACTTTGATAGTCCAGAACATCCTAGTTTGACACTTTCACCTGAATCAGCTGTCAAAAAATTTTAAGATACATTTTCTCCTGAAAACCTTAAACTGTTCAAGCATCGTGCTATGCCCAGAAATCTAAAGTCCCGGCTTGTGTTCCTATTAGGGGTCATTCTGTTGCTGTTCCCATCCATTAAATATGTGCTAAACCAATTAGGAAACTATTACCTACAGCAATTAGGCAATTATGACATTTACTCCAGCTTCATCTTTGTCTCCTCCTTGAAATAACCCATTTCCGTATATTTTACACAGAAATAGCTTAATATCACTCTATACAAATTCAAAACCTATGCCTGAATTAAGACACACATTTCAAAAATTCCTAAGAAAATATGTCTGAGCCCATGAAATGAATTTCTAAAAGGGGAAATAGTCAAGATAAAAGACTGTCCAAAAAAAAAAGGAACTTAGCAAGAAAAAAAAAATGTTTTAAAATGACCTTAGAGGAAGAAACACTGGGTGAAATACCCAATAGACAAATAGGAATATTTGTGTGTGACTGACCAGCCTGGATTTTTAAAGGGCATGTAGAAAAGATTACTGGGAGTAAACGTGATGGAGTAAGATGATGTGAGAGTCTAGAAAGGAAAGCTAAAATCCAGAGTAAGCTTCATGTCACCCCAAAATAAAAATGAAAATATTTTAAAGCTACATTTAGCCAAAAATGCCTCTTAAATTATGTGTGCAGTGTGAAGAGAAAAAGACACCAACCATGAAAAACTGGGCAGAGCAGTTATATCCATTTATGGGTGTGTGTGGTTAAAGGTGAAAATCCTTAAAATTTTTTGATTCATCCTCAAACTCCCATATTTACGATAAAAAAGATAGACTTTAAACATAAATTTTACTATATGCATTTATGATCCATTATTTGAGGCCCTTGGACATGTCTGGCTTGAGGTGATAAAGGCTATAAATTACTTAGAAAAAGTCAGCAAAGCCCTGGCTGGTTTGGCTCAGTGGTTGGAGCATCAGCCTGTGGACCAGAGTCCCAGGTTCAGTTCCCGCTAGGGGCATGTAAAAAAAAAAAAAGTCAGCAAGAGCTCAGTTAAGTGATGAACTGGAAGGAAGGAAAATCAGTCTGCAAGTTCAGATACAATTTTGATACATGACACAGCATAGGCTAGAACTCTGCATTGTTTTTTAATAAAATGAGCATGAGATATATCCATTATAATTTTGTTCTGGTTTTATTTTATGATAATATTGGAATCAGTAGTAAAGACAGCAAATATGTGCACCGAGTTTGGATACCCATATTTTAACAGCAATGATTTACTATTAAACTAGTGTTAAAATTTTAATGTTTTAGCCTCAAAATATTCTTATAGCCGTAATGCTTTCGTATGCTTAAGGTTTTCTACAGATAAAATCCTGTAAGTACAAATTCTAGGTCCGAGGCTATGCACATTTCAAAGGGTTTCCTCTCATCATTTATGCTGTAAAAATCTCATTGGTAGACCTTTATTGATGAAAAATGTAAGAAATTGTATATGTGAAAAAAATAAAGACAAGTGGCAGTAACTTTGCTACTTTACAATACAGTATTTTAATATATTAGGTGTATCAAGTGGGCAACAAATGAGGGCATACTAAATAGAAGGTCAGAAGCTTGGGATTAAATCCCCACAATGTCACCTACTACTATAGTCTCTCAAGTAATGCATTGATCTCTTTCAACCTATTTCATCACCTTTAAAGCTAGATAAATAATACCTGTCATAGCAACCTCTCATGTCTGTTTTAAGGATCAATATGAAACAAAGTACACAGAATACTTAGAAAAATGTGTAAGAGATTTTCATCAAGATCAAGGCTGAATGGAGGTCACAGCCAGACC